TACCCCGCCCTGCGGGTGTCTGCGATGGGAACTCTTTGTGGGAGTAGAAAGCCTCCTCTTTCTCCTTCGACCTGGCTCGTGGTTTCAAACTACTGACCTCACGGGTAGCAGCCCAACACATAACCACTACTCCACCAGGGCTCCTTGAAGCACCACAGAAGGACTCTAAAGGGGAGAGTGTCCCTCAGAGCAGCTCCTCAGGAAGATTCCAAGGCAGCTGTGGGGTTGAGGGTCTGGAGAGAAAAAGGCTGGGGGGATGAGGAGACCCTGTAAAGGGCAGTGGTCAGTCCTAATGGTGCAGGGAGGGTGGGAAATGGAAGCATCAAGGGTGGTTTTTGGCTTGGGGGTTGGAGGAAAGGGGACTATGTGCTTAGGGCCCAGAGGAGAAGCTGGCCGGCATGACTCCCATGGTGCTTTCTGTGCTCCCCGCTAGTCAGCCTCTGTGGGACAAAGACCAAGGGCCAGGCGCCTCGGGGTTTGAAGGGTGCATCCCGTTTCACTCGCCACTGCTTCCCGGGGGGCACCATAAGCTCGTACTAGTTCCCCCTTGACTTGGAGCCTGAAACTCTCTACACCTCCCCACATCCCATCTCCACAGAGGGCCTGACACCATATGGCCTGGGGGCTGCCAAAAAGGGAGGACAATGCCCCCCCCCTCCCCTGCCACCACCTGGCCTCAATCTCAGGAGTAACTCCCAGGACATTTCCTGGGAGCTCAGTTGAGGGACCCAAACCTGGGACCCCAGGGAGTCCTTCCTGGCCCACCTAGCATTTCTCTGACCAAACCCACACTCCCCTGCATCTGGGATCTGGGCCCACAACTTGCTCCACAGTTACATGTCCTTAGTCCTCGGAGAAGCTTCTGCTGTGCCAGGTGGGTTCTGAGGACACAGGCAAGGTGACATCCCAGAAGTCCCTGAGCCGGGCATACACACAGCTGGTCTGCAGGTCCCCAGGCCCCTGCTGTGACAGCCCCAGGGTGGGAGCTCCTAGGGGTCTGGGAGAAGAGCACGGTGTGGTCAGGATGCCCAGACAGCAGCTGTCCATCAACTACCACTAAACATGTCCCTCCTAGAACCGTCCAGCTATGACCCCACCAAGCTGTCAGGTCACAGGGGACCCATACCCTGAGGGGAGGTAGGGAGGGGGCTTCATTTCCTTCCACAAATTGCTCTCTGTGGCCTGGTATTCCTGCAGCACCTTCCAGTCCCGCTCAGATGCGCAGTCCCTGGAGGCACCTGGGAGGCTGAAGGCCGAGCTTGCTCCTATCAGCTTCCCTGGTCTTCCACTGACCCCTAGGGGGCGGCTGCAACACAGCCAGGCCGTGAGGAGGTGGATTCGGCCCTGCCCCATGTGGGTTCTCTCAGCTTCCCCACCCGAGGAGCTGTGGTCTTGCCCCTCCAAACCTGGCCCTTAGCCAAACAGACACGGAGCTGCCCACTACGAGAGCCTGGGCCACAGAGAAGATCCAGTGCCCTTAGAGGGCCTGAGGTTCTCGCGCCTTCCAGAACCCTAGCTGCCCACAGGAGGCCACAGCTTGATGGGATGTCCTAGGGCTGGCCTTTGAAGTGTCCCTCCGGGCCCCCACCTCCGTCCCTTTCCCAACTCGCTAGAGCCAGGGGTAGGAAACAGAGCTCGGGTCCATCAAGCTGCCCCACGAGGTGCTAATGAACAGAACTACCCACTGGTGCACTGATCAGTTGCCGTCTTGGGAGTTCGGGCCAGGCCTGGGACATTCTGAGAACAAATGAGGGCGTGTCTGGGGCTGCTGAGGTGCCCTGACAGTATCGCTGCACTATTTAAATAACCCCTGGGGTTTTGTAGTCAGGGGGGAAGCACACTATTTTAAACCGACAAGGACCCCAACTCTTCCATGCCTACTTCTCACCCTTTCTTCAGGCAACCTCTGTCTGGAAGGTGGACAGCGGCATGCGGAGGCCATGACAGCTGCTAATGGCCGAGGGAACAGGACCCACAGGCTCCACTCTGACTCTTAGCTCCTCAGCCTCATTTTGACCTCATTTTGAAACTCCATTATCCAAGTGGAAATCACCGGATGCCAACTGGTAACTCCAGCACCACTTTTGTATACTAGTGTCCAGGACACAGCACCGCAAGGGAAGAGTGATTGTGGATGGAAAGTCTGTTTTCTCATTGAATTTTCACAGCAAACCCTGGAGACAGTATGGCAGCCTGTACTGCTTCGAATCATGTCCCCCTAAAATTCATATCCACCCAGAACCTCAAGTGTAACCTTATGTTGAAGTAAGGCTTTGCAGGTGTAATTCATGAAGAGGAACTCATGTTGGTAATCCCTAAATTCAATGTGACTGATGTCCTTATAAAAAGAGGGCACAAACACATAAGGAGACCGAGACAGAGACTAGAGTGGTGTGTATCCAAGTCCAGGAACCCCAGGTGCCCCGGAAGTGAGGAGAAGGCAAGGCCGGCTTCTCGTCTAGAGCCTGCAGAGGGAGCACGCTCCTGCTGCCCCCTTGATTTCTGACCTGCAGTCTCTGAACTGTGAGAAAACAAGTCTCTGCGACTTGGCCTCCTAGTTTGTGCGAACTCGTTGTGGTAGTAATATAATCTGATGTCAACTTGAGACTATTAAGAGTGAAGGGTTGGGGGAGTTTAACCTGTCAATCAGGTCGCAGCTTGATGACCTCATTTGGAGGCACTACGGAGATAAATAGCTCACTGGAGGCCGGGCACACTCTCTCTGCTTCGTCTCCCCGAGAGACAGTCCTGCTGACAAGCCACATGGAGGCACCCTGAGGGAGTCAGAGCCCTGGAGCTGGAGGAGCCATGTGGAGACCCACACCAGTGCTGAGATGCTTCCACTGCCACTGGATCCAAAAGACTTTCCACCCACTGGCCCATCATCTTCCTGCATTTGGCATCATTGCATGCGTTGCGCAAGTCTGAAGAGGAATTTATAGACCGGGATTGGATATATAAGCTAATATCAGACTTCTGGACTTGATCTGGACTCAGCTGGGATGTTTTATTAATATACAATTGCTCTTTATATAAAGCTCCTTCTTATACACATGAGTGTCTATGCGTTTGTTTCTCTAGTCTACCCAGACTAACACACTCATTACGGCAGCCCTACGGAAGGGCCAAGGAAACTGAGACTCAGAGGGTTTGGGAGTCACCTGTCTAAGGCTGCAGGACTATCCAGTCAACGCAGTGGAGTCTGAACCCAGTTCTTTCTGTCTGACTCCACAGCCCACCTCCTCACTCTGCCTCCAATTCAGCAATCCACAAAGGGCCCACTCTCAAAAAGCCCAAGACACTCTGTTTGTCCCACATTGTCCCTGGTCCTGGTCTTAAAAGTTGGCTTCAAATACATTCATCCCATACCCAAAGGACCCATCGCGACATGAAGGGGCCTCCCTGCTGGCCTTGGCACTTGCCTGGACCTGGCTCTTGCCCCTCATCCCTGAAGGCTCTCACTGGGAGCACAGCACTGACTCTGAGTTTGGAGATCCTGGGCCTACAACTGATACCGTATTTTGGTCTCTTGCTACCTGCACAGCTTGGCCTTCTCCAACACAAAGTTACGTTTTGGTTGGCAGCACTTGGCATTTCAGGTCCTCAATCGAGAATCTGCTTTAGCCAGTTCTGCCTACCGAGCCCAACTCTGACCCTACCATTGAGTCAGATCCTAAAAGGTTAATGCTGGCCCGAGCAACCTCCAGGATGCTGGGCTCCTTCAGCTACAGAAAAGACATAAGCGTTTCACGCCCAGGTGAGGAACCCAGCAGAGTTGGAGAAAGGGTTTTGGAGCTGGCCTAGATGAGAAACGGACATCATCCTCTTCCAGCTCTGGAGTAAGGACCCCTGGTGGTATAGGGTTAGGTCTTGGGCTGCGACCCTCAATGTCAGCAGTTCAAAAACCACCAGGTGCTCCCAATCCCATCAAGAGTTGCTGTGTGGGAATCGACAGGCACAGTTCTGCCCGTCCTACAGGGCTGCTGTCAGTCAGAACGGACTCCGTGGCAGCCTTGTTTTGCTTTTATTTTTGAATCTCCATTTCTCTTTAGACAGTTATTTAAGTCTGCGTAATCTTCCTTTCAATTTCAGTTTTGCAGTTGGCTGTTTCTCTGTATGTATCTTGTCCCCAATCCTTCTCCTGCCATATTCTTTTGTGTTGGTTTGTTTTTATGGTACGTATGTATGTATATGTGTGTGTGTATATATAGGTATAGATACATATATATAAACAATTGCTTTTTCAGCAGTTTCACATGTGAATTCAGTGTCTTTAATTACATTAACCATGTTAACCAACCATCACCAATTCCAATTGTCCATCACCCTTTTTTTTGATTTTTTTTTTGGTCCATCACCCTCAACAGAAATCCAGAGGTCAGAAACTGGTCGTTTTGCACTTGCCCATTCTAGATCTTTCATCTCAATGGACTCATACACTATCTATCGGTGCTTTTGGGTCTGGCCTATTTCACTCAGCTTGATGTTTTCCAAGGTCCAAGCATGTTATATTTGGTATCAGAACGTCATTTCCCTTTCTGCTAACAACATGCGTTATTTAAACAGTGTTTGTCTGTGCGTGTTTGGAAAAATAGTGGAAAGTTTGCTAACAAGCAGACCCCTGGCTATGGTAACACTGCGGCCTGTCAGATCCATGAGTTCTGACACAGGAAAAAGAATGACGGTCCTCCTGCTGTGACCTCCGCCTGGGATCCCTCGGCACCATAAAGTGAGTAAAGACACTCGGCAAGACCCCCGCCCCGCTCGAACACTCTCCGTCATGGTCCCCACAGGGCCACCATGCTCCCGTTCCAAACACTTTTTCTGGACTTCAAGCTACAGGGCTCTGGAAGGGAGGCTCGGAGTTCCCCAGACACGGAAAAGGGGTAGCAAAGGAAGGCTCGCCAAGAACCTGGCAGCGCTGCTGAGGCCCAGCCCCCTCTTGGAAGCTGGGGACCTGAGACCTGGCTGATTGGACTCCGGGAGAGCCCCCATCCTACCTGCTCCACACAGTCTGGGATCGCAGGTGCACATGACAGTGTCCCTGCACTCTCCACGGACAGCACATCCTTCAGCAGCTCCTCACACCCTGCAGACAGACAGACAGACAGATAGACAGACAGAATCTCAGCCTGCCACATTGCTCTGCTTTCAACTCATGGCCTTATGGGTCGTAGGCGGAAAGGACTGTGGGAAGAAGGAGGCCTGAGAGAGGAGCTGACCATTTGCGGGCAGGAGGGAATGCAGAGCCTGGTTCAGGCACTATGGGGGGACCTGAGACAGGGCTGCGCCCTAGTTAGAGACGCCCTTCCCCTGGGACTGACCCCACAGGGGAACACAATGAAGAGAGCAGACCAGAGCAGAGTGAATCAAGGAGAGCTTCCTAGAGGCAGGGATACAAGACTGCCCAACCTGGCTCCCAGGGATCCCAGCACATACGTTACTCTGAGGCTGAGCCCCCTGCCCCCCAGGCTTCATTCAGAAACCTCGTTTCAAGAAGTCCCTGATGTCCACTGGAGATGCTGTGTTTGATCGCTTGGTTAATGTGATTGCCTGCTCTCTTCCACATGAGGACGTATTTGACCTACGTCAGAACTGACCAAGGATGGAGTCATGGGGAGGGAACCCTGTCCTAAATACCTGTGTTGAGATCTGCTTGTGCCAGGCCCCAACCACTCAGTGTACCGTCCGCTGCCCCTCACTTTGCTTCCACTGAAAAAGTTCACTCAGGACCTTGAGACAGGCCGAAGAGAAGCACTCATCCCAAGCTGAGCCACAAGGGAATTTGCTTGCCTTCAGAGAGAATAGGACAGAGGCCCTGGCTCTCCTACCACTAAATCAGGTTTCTTAGCAGTAGCAGCAGCAGCGGCGGCAGCAGCGGCACAGAGGCCTTAACAAGCCAACGTGGCTGGTGACCCAAACCACTATCTACAAACAGTTTAGCAGTAAGAGGGACCATATTCAAATTCAACTGGACTCTAAATGTGAGAGAAAAGAGAAGGCCATTTTACATTGACCCTTGGGGGTGGGTAGGGACAGGGAGAAAGAAAGAAGAGAAGTCAGAAGGAAGGAATAAATAAATGAAAGAAACAAAGAAGTCCTAGTTTGCCCAGGACTGTCCAGGCTTGAAAACAGGAAGTCCACATCCAGGCCAAGTCCTTAAGTCCGAGGTAAATGAGGATGGCTGGTCCCCCTAGAGGAGATGGAGAAGGAGGAAAAAAAAAAAAGGGAGAGGGGACAGAGAACAGGGCGAGCAGAGATGACGTCTGTCCCCAGATCCTGTGTCCAGGCATCCCGGGCTCTAGGGCTGGGACTCTGTGGCAGAGGTTCTGAGAGACCCCCAGCCCCCCACGTCTGGGTTAGCTGTGGTAGCCCAGGACTCCCCTCCCTGCCGGCAGCCTCCATGGGGAACTGAGGGCAGAGCTCACTTGTGGAACCATCCTGGGGACCCCGTGGGGAGGAGTCAGCTGGGACCAAGTTGTGCCAGCCTCCTCAGCTGGCCAGAATGCCAAGAGAACCCTTGGCCCATCATACCCGGAAGACCTCACCTTTCATGGCAAACACTCCCCGGCAAAAGTCCTTGAAGTTGATTCTCCCCAGGTCGTTGGGATCCAGGTACTTCACAAGCTTTTGCACCTGTGGGAAGAAAGGGGGGACAGATGTGAAGGACTCGAGACACCCCCAGGAGGCTGGGATGGAGGAAGGACCGCAAATCAAGCCATGTCCACAGAATGGGTCCCTCCTGGTCCTTCTCCCCCCTTAACTTAGAGATCAGCACCAAGGCCCTAAGGTGGGAGGCGGGCACTGGATTCAATAGACAACGCGAGTGAGCAGAAGCCAAACCAGCCCTGGCTCTAGAGACTTGGACTTGACTTGGATCCGCCTCTTCCTTTTCCCCACAAAGACACCCCCTCATTGACAGCAAATGATCTGTTGATTTGTAAAGAGTGGTTGTTCAACACGAACCATACACACACGTGGCAGGAAACCTAAAAATGAGAAGGAAGCAAACCCCAGCATCCCCGGCTTGGCCCTTCTTTGAAGACACTGTCGTAACCACATTGTTTTCCTTTTTCTATTTCATAGTTTGGAAAGAACCTTAGTCAGATTCCTCTTTTCCAGCCAGGCGGAAATATCATATAACATTTGTGTAAATGACTTAAAGTGGCAAATTAAGTAAGAGTTAAGGCCAAACCGATGGTGGTCAGGAGAGTAGCTGCTTGTGCAGGAGGACGAGGGCACCCACGGTGCTTCTGGGATGCTGATGCAGGCCTATGCCTGCGTGGTGCTCATGGTGAATGTGGTTGACTGCTAACCCAAAGGTTGGCAGTTTGAACCGACCCAGAAGTGCCCTGGAAGAAAGGCCTGGTAATCTAATTCCCCAAAATCCATCCGTGAAGACCCTGTGCAGCCGAGGTCTGCTCTGACACAGGGAGGGTTACTGTGAGTGGAACCGACATCACCACTGGGATTTGGTTTGGCTGCTGGCCTGTCTCTTGCCTTAGGTGCGAGTTAGTTAGGTGGGGAGAACTCGCTGGGCTCTATACTAGGGTCAGTGTTCTGGTACATCATTCCTCCTGATGTGGGGCAGGCTCTCCTCCATGTCCCAGGGTCTCACAAGCACCCTCCATGCTGCAAAGTGAGTGCAGCCTACCATCTCAGTGACTGCAAAATGTTCTGCCTGTAGCTCGGGATGGACTGAACTACTCCCGAGTTCCACACTTGACTTCCCATGTTTTGCTACCTACAAGTCATTTGGGGTGGGTTCTATGCTGGGTGGATGGTTGGCGAACTTCCTGATCACTCAACTCAGATCCCGCACATCCTTGTGGCCAACACTCCCCTCCATCACCATGTCCTTTGGTCACACTGAGGCCCCAGTCATCACCGTTGCGGGCCCCTCCTCCCCGAGCATTCAAACATACCACTCCCCGACCCCATCCTGTCCCCCCGCCCCTCCCACCCACAGCCCAGCTCCTCAGCATCACTGGGGCTGCTTTCCTCCCCAACCTGCAATCCACCCCAAATTCCATATCCTCAAACTACTGGGACCACCGCTGGTCACAGCCACCATCACCTCCCCCTGGGCCCTGCAAATCTCTTCATTCCTCTCTTCTCGCCCACTTCCAATTCATCCCTCCACTCCACTCCAACTGGGTCATGATACTCACTCTTCGACTTAAACCTTCCAGGAACTTTCCATGCAATCCAAATTTCACATCGCCTTCAGCAGCCTGCACGATCTAGCCCCTTCAGCACCACCCCTTCCCACTCTCCGCCGCTCACGTCAACCACATCAAGCTATGTACTAAGTTCTTTCCTGCCTCGGGGCCTTTGCACTTAGTGTTCTCTTCTTCCCAACGGCTGCTCTCCCCATTCATCACACAGCAATGCCTACTCAGCGTTCCGGCCTCCACTTGTACCTTTATTAAATGTTGCTGCCCAGAAAGCCTTGTCTGACCACCTCCATCTAAATAAGCCCCGCCCTGCTGTCACGCTCTGTTCCAACACACTGGACTTTCCTCCAAACCATCTGCTGCAATTTGCAATTGGAGCCCTACATAGCTATTTGGTGACTTTGTATCTTCCTGCCTAGAATGTACACTTCCTGCAGGTAAGAAGTGGGTCTGTTTTGATCAGCACTATAGACCTAGCAGTTGATACCATTCTGGGCACAGGGAAACTTCATAAAATTGTATCGAATAAATGAATATAAATAAGCTTACCAAACATCTGTGTTTTTAAGGCAGTTGATAAACTTACTTTCACCGAGTTAATTCTGACTTGTGGTGACCCTATAAGATAGGGTAAAAGTGTCCGTGTGGGTTCCTGAGACTCTAACTCTTTATATAAGTAGAAAGCCTCATCTTTCCCTAGAAGGGTGGCTGGTGGTTTCAAACTACTAACCTCGTGGTTAGCAGCCTAATGCATAACTGAGTATGCCACCAAGGGGCTTGATACCAGTTGCCAGATCATTCCCTGTAAAGATATCTTAAATTAGTCTTCCTGTTAAGCAACTTACTTCAAACTCACCTCTAGTGGGTATTTCCCCTAGATTTTGGCAATACTCTATTTTGAAAAGTGATCTTTTCTCATGAATTGGGTCCATTTTGGGGGTACAAGTCAACAGCTTAAGTTCAATTTCTCCCTATTTCCTCCTGAAACTGCTCCTAAAGGATCCTGTATCTTCACAGCCACCCCTCCAACCGCACACGTGCAAGCGTCCCTTCAATAAGTGAGAAGGGAGCACCTTATATGCTGGGTAAGAAGCCGGCATCGGAGGGTTAGTGGCAAAATCAGCAGTTCAAACCCCCCAGTCCTTGCAAGAGTAAGGAGAGGCTGCCTGCTCTGGGTAGCGATGTAGGCTCAGAAGCTTTGTGGAGCAACTCTACAGCGTGCTATTTAGGGTGCTGTCAGTTGGGATCGATCAAATTACTTGTGTTTTATACGCTAGACACTCTGCAGTAGCTGCTGGCCCAGCTGGCTGATAACAGTCACACTGACATTCATACACAGCCACGTACACACGCACACTGGCATCACCAGGCACCCGGCCCCTCCTCCCCAGGCATCACCATCTGCAGCCTTGGTCTTGAAAGCACATCCCAAGTCCACCGTGAGGCCCAGGAAAGTAAACGGGGTGGGGCTACTATAGCACTTTGGAGAGTGCAGCCCTCAGCAGGTGACAGACAGGCTTACTGCTGCTGGCGGCACCCCTGTGTGGTGGCCTTCAATGGTCCCTGAGGACATTCTTCCAGGGTGGCAGCTGCAGCAGTGGTCTGAAGGTCAGACCTCGCCAATGGCCTGGCACCATGGGCAAGTGCTCAGCCAACTTTGGAAGATGAGTGAATGCACGGAAGAGCCTCGCACACGCACACACATGCACATACATGCACACACACACCCCTCATCCTGCATACCAGCTGATCCTGCTTTCCCACTCGTGTGAACCTGGGGGTGCATCATCCCCTCTATGAGCCCCTGAACCTACTACCCAGTGGGCTCTCAGGAAAAGCCTGTGGGATTTCTGAGGAGGAAGAAAGCGGCTATCCGCCAACTCCTGCCATGCTAGAGGCTCCTCAGCCTTGTGGCTGCCAGTCGCCCCCCCCTCCCCCCCGCTGGCAGCCGCTGACACCACCAGGCAATGACGTGGCTTCTGAGAATAGCAATACCCAGGTGCCACCTGCAGGGCTGTGGGGCAGTCCACCCACCACCCCAGCTGGCGTCCCACCTCCTCTGCTCCTGCCCTTGTCACTGGTGATGTGGGTGTTACAGATGCAGAGCCAGACAATGGTCACCCCCCCCCC